GTGGGTGGGGGTGCTCTGCAGTGCTGGGGGTCACCTGACTAAGGGGTGGCCGCAGCCCGTGTCAGCCATGTTGGGGACCCACTGCACCAAAGCCTGCGGCAGACCTGTCCCGGGGCCAGCCAGGCGTCTTTCCTGGGGAAGGGGAGGTGTTTTCTTCACATGACACTGGTGCTTACTGCTATTACTATTATGATTTGTTGCTGCAACAAATATTAAAAGGAGGGGGGGGGGATCCCTGAAGAGCTCTCCCCGGGATTTTCTAATACGCAGGCTGAAAAAATTAAATAACAATTGGCTGCCCAGTCTCCCCAGCTGCCTAAACTTCCTCAGGTTAGTACCCAGTGTGCCCTGTCCCCGGTGCGGCTGAGACACTTACTCTCCATTAAACCCATTAACATGCAGAATCCTCATTTGCTTGACAATGGTGCTTTTACCAGACTCTCCCGCACCTAGAAAAGGAAAGCGAGTCTCAGGTTATGAAGGAGGCATGCTACACACTCTGGGCAGTGAGAGCACTGCTGCTTTCCCGCAGAAGCAACACAGAGAGAAACACACACAGTAAAGACGTGCGCTTTTCATTGACATTTTGACGCATCAAAAATATAATGTCCAACTTTTGTCCCTGCAGTATTTCACCATTAGGATAACAAACAAGAATTAAAGGTTTGGGCTGTTTTAAAATTTGTGGGGTGGGGAAGCAAAGGGAGAGGAGAAAGTGATGCAATTTTGTCATTTTGGGGAGGGGGTGCGAGAAAATTGAAGTTCAAACTGTGAAACTGAATCCTTGAAACTGAGAATTCAGGTAAATTGCACACGTGAATGTGTAGAGCCATATAATTCATTGTTTGTCAGATGTTTCATGGTTAAATACCCAGGGCCCACCACCAGTGCCCAGACACTGCAGGCTGACCCAGCACTTGCCTTCCAAGCACTGTCCCAAAGCAGATGCTCCCCGGGCAGGCCCCCCCCCACCCCCCTCGCCCAGGCTACTGAAAATTCAGTGCCTCAAACCGCAGCCTGGCATTTTACCCAACACCCACCCCCCCTTCTCTCTGGATTCAGCAACCATGTTATACAGGGGGTGGGGGGTGGGGGGGGGAGTGGTAGAAGACCACCACCAATTTTGTCTTCTGGAAAAACACATTCTAATACCAAATATAGTGTTTGAGAACCACATTAACATGCAGCAACTCTAATAAGAGTTAAAAACTTTAATCGTAAAGAAAAATATACCTAGAAACCACTGCGTTTTCAAAGATGTCAAGCCCTTCCCAGCTAAAAGTAAGAAAGGTGACATATCGCCATTTAAAATGACCTTACCTTTATAAGAATAGTGAAAAACCACATTTCCAGGCTAGAAGGAGGGCTGCTATTTTTTTTTTTTCATTTTCTTTTTTGTAAATACACACCGTCCCACAAATAATGCTGTGTGAGCCATTTTTTACCTTCTCTCACACAAACCTGTTGGGGGTTTTTTTCCTCCCCCCCCCTCCCCCTGCCCCTTACTTTTCTTAATTGTTTTGTTTTACTTCCCAGAGAGTAAAGCAGTCCTCCTTCTCCTGCCTTTTCACAAGGCTGTAATCAGTACCTGGGAAAGTTAAAATGTTTCTAAAGAAACATTGATTTCAAAGCAAACACTCTATCTTAATGAGTCTCACTCTCATACATTAAAATATTAAAGGAATTATTAGGAGATTCCATGAAGAGAAAGCATAAAATTACTCAAGAATCTCCAATATTCTTATTTCAGAGGTGTTAGGATGCGTAATACTGCTTTTAGAGGCACGAAACAGATCTGTGCCTCAGTTTCCACGTATATGAAATAAGAGAATTGGGCTGAAAAAGTCTTTTTGTGGTACGTAATTCACTATTAAATTAAGATGGATTAAAAAGAGGACTTGGGACATCATTGTTTCCTCTTTTTTTGGGGGGGGGGTATTTGGTGAGAATCACCTTAAAAATGCAAAATGTGTTGCACTGGCTAGGGCTGCAGACACCTGTGCCAGAGGCTATCAATAAATTGTGATACAATGTAGCCATATAGGACATCTGGGGAAGGTGAGCCCAGAGATGCAAGGTGTGTTCAAAAGTAACAGTCTCAAGTTAAGTGGAGACTTTGTGATTATTGCACAAAGGTGTTAGAAATTTAAGGTACCATTAGCATACTTGTTTCAAATTAGTATTCAGGTAACTGAGATACCATCCAAGGAAAAGATTCTAGACTTTTCCAGGCTTATACTTTGAAATCAAGTTTATGCATATTATCCTTCACATAGTATAATTCTGCCATTAGAAGTTTTAAATAAGACCTCAACATACGTATCATTTAATTACTGAAATTGCAAGTGCACAAAAACAAAAAAGAATTATTTACACTTAATAATTTTCTGCTTTATATAAACCTGGGCTCAGGAGAACAAAGACATAACCCATCCAAACAAGCAAAGCAAACACCACAAAGAAAAGCAGCCTTTACACTTTATTCTTTATAACTAAGCTGTTTTGTTGAAGTGTGACCACGAACTAGGTCTTAACCTACCAAATTCACCAGTTCAGATAACCAAATTACCGAGGAAGTGGAAAACTTCCATACTAATTAATGCTTGTGTAATTATTCTGGTCATTTCACCACTTTTTTTAATGCTTTTTTTGTTTTATTTTAACTTCTCCCCCCACCCCTCCCCAAAGCAGCACCTTTAAGAAAAAAGGAGGAAAGGTCATCTCAAATTCCACCCCCCTTTTTGGCCGAAGTAAAAACCGCAATCAAGAGAGAAAACCCAGAACCAAACAACCAAATGTCACTTGACAAAACAACTAATTAACGTCTTTTCACCTCCTCCACCTGGAAAAAGGGTCTCCTTAAGCGCACTCGACCCCCTCCCCCCTTGAAAAGGACAAAAAACGCCATTTCCAGACCCAGAAGCCATTTCCAGACAAATGTCATTTTCCAGTTCTGATTTGTGAATTGCCCCCCCCCCCTTTCCACAAAGTACTCTCAATGTGGAGGACTAACAGGAAAATGTGTGTGTTAATGGTTTATTGGGGGGAGGCGATGCTGCTGGGGGAGGGGGGTGAGGGCAGCTGCTACAATTAATTCTCTTCTTTGCTTTTTAAAAAGCCTGCATGTCTGGAAGGGGGAAAAAAGGTCATACTGTAAAAATGACGTGTCATTTGGCTTCACTGGGCACTTAGCGTACCAACTCCATTTTTTTTTTATTTGATTCTCCTTTCCTTCTTTCCACGGCCGGGCCGGGCCCAGGACACGTCTGCTCCGCGCACAGTGTGTCCGGCCTGAAACGCACCAAGTCGCGCCCAGCGCCGCCGCTCTCCCTCCTCCCCCCCCCCCCCCCCCCCCCCCCCCCCCGCCCAAGAACTGATTTTCTGAACATTTCTTCCTTTATGGGGAAAAATGCTTTAGGGGCCAATCTACTAGACAAATGCCCATTTTAAATCAAGAGGAAATGGAAGCAAAGAGTCTCTGAAATTATTATCAAAGTCATTAGGAGAAGAGGATTTTTTTCTTATCAGACTTCAATTTACACACAGATAGTTTTAGGAAGACTAAAAGGTGGGCAATTCCAGAGCTGATATGTCACCCCCTTGGGATAGTATCAAGCCACTTCCTCCCTCTCTGCCTCCCTCCTTGCCTCCCTGACTTTATTTATTCCAAGATGCTCAAACAGTGCCAACTCCGGTGACTGTTATTCACATGCATTTAAGGGGCGCCCGATCTGTATCAGACACCATGTTGGAGACCAGGGATGTAGTGCTAGCAAGTGAGATCCCTGCCCTAGAGGAGGGACCAGGGAGCCAGC